CGTCGGATATACGTCACTTTTGTGGCGTAGAAACACCCCGACAGTGGTCGAAACATTACGAAAAAGTGGAGTGCATTTAGCAAACCCCTCTAAACACTGCGTTAGCTTTTAAGCACGCGCGTTAACAAGTTTTAACACTGAGTAATTTTTCATACTAGATTTGACCTAATTACAAAGTGCAAAAAATTCATGCCCAGCAAGATACCATCCATGGTCTTACCATTGTAGGCCGCCAACACTACCGCTCGGCTTGGCCGAGCAGTAAAGTTGTTACGGAAGCCGAGCTCTGCCGGAGTCTCTTACAGTGGGCTTTCCATTCGAAACAACCTCCGTAACACTTTTCAGAGAATCGTTTCGCAAATTTGGAGAGTGGATTCGAGATCAGCGTCCGAAAACACATCTCTGAGTATAGGTTTCATTACGGATGGCCACTTCGACTTGGTATCCTTCCCTTGTGAGAAGCGCCAAAGATTTCGCTAAAAGGACAGAAATTTTAGCGGGATATTGAGTACGATTTGCCCATACAATGACTTGCGGGGCCACCAGGTAAAAAGTTAGTTTTTTTTATCCTCTCAGACAGCTGATACCAAATAGACGATCTTACAAGTAATTTGCACTTTAATTTAATAGAAAAATTCGATTGCTGGACTGTGTGTATGGTGAGCAGCATAAGTTCGCTCGCTGATAACCTAGTTTCACGGCGCAAGCTCTTTGAGTCCAAAGCGCCGTTGTGAGTTTTACTTTGAGTGAGACAAAACCACTGATGCGCTCTGTTGGCAGAGCCGAACACGTGCATAGCGGGGTGATTTTGTGCAGGTCTCAGAGATCATGCATTATGTAGGTTGTCCCATATGTCGGTTTTTTTCAATCAGGAAATTTTCTTCCGGGTCCCCTAAACTTTACACCCTTTCATGTACATTTCGAAACTACTCCGCATCTGTTTGCTACCGAGAAATACTAGTATTTTCCTCTTCCACCACTGTTCCAGGGTTTTCAAATTTTAGGCCTGCGAAATGGGAGGTCCAGCCGACAAAAATTGACCAAACCGACAACTAGCTCTAACTTTATCTTCCCTTGGAGAAATCAATCAATGATGTACCCTCTACTTATCCATGACCTCTTCTAAACATTCCGCTCTTAGATGTTGAAAGTACTGCAATTGTTTTTGTACTGTACGCCACAACGAGGTTTTTAAGATGGAATCTTTATTTACTGGCCTTACGTTTCGACCGCTTCGTCTTCTTCAGAGGCCTGGAGATTGTCTGAAGCTTTTTGATTTGTAAGCTATTCGATCAACCGATTTTAGTATTCTCGACGTCATAGAGCGTCGAGAATACTTCCGAGCACTCAGTGATGAAGAAGTAACTCACCCAAGATTCCACCGATGCGGAGCAGTAGCTCACGCCCTGTGTTAGTTGACGTCAATGAGGCAAATGAGCTCTACTCAAGTCTCGCAGAGTCATATATGTCAAGATCTAATTTGCACGTCGCACTGCACAGTAGTGATGGTTTCAATATTGTCATTACCAGAGCTCATCAGCACTATCTTTGCTATCTCTGCTCATTATCATAACACCAGTTTAGCTCCGCACGCAACCGCGCGCATCACATGGTAGGCTTTAGTAAACTGGACAACTTGCTGAATATTAGGTCACGTGGCTGAGAAAACAGTAAGATGTTTGGAAGATGTGTCACATGAATTTCAAAGGCCGTCCAATTTTGCTGAAGATTGTAGCGTAATGCGCGCAGTAGCATGCGGAATGAAAATGCACTTATCATGACTTCGTAAACATTTAGCATTGATATCGAGCTCGGATGATTAGCGGTTTATAGAATTTCCACAATTGAAGAATCGGTGTGTAAGTGAAATATAACCAATCAATCAGCATCTAACCATGATGGAGATTGCAAATATGATGGAAATTCGCTATTGGTCCAAGCCCAGATAGTTGAGCAGCTCAACTTTCTTTGCTTCTTAGATGAAAGGATAGGAATGGAACATATTCACGTGCTAGGGACCTGGTTTAGTTCAATTGAGTGCACGCTCAACTGTCGCTACTTTTATCAGTACAGTTGCCGCTCATACCACTTTCTGTCACCTACATTCAACCCTCGCCACCTTGATCGCTTGCCAGTGATAATTGCAACGAAGTTGGTAGAGACCTGCATTCAAACGCTCTTATCATTCCTTGTCATTTCTTATCAGTTCATACTGTTCGCAATCGGTGTCCCGGTCCCAACCTCGCAACGTGTAGGAGCTAATATTTACTGTCACCACGAAGGCTGCAACGAAATTAGCAGTACTCAAAATCCAAACTTCCTTATCATCCGTTATCGCTTGTTATCACTTCTGATCATCCGCTATCCGTGTTCCCGTCCCATCCCCTATACCACATGTGAGAGCCAAGGTTCCAATGTAACCGCAAGGGCCGCAACGAAACTGGTGGTATCCACACTTTGACGCCCCTTATCAGTTCTTATCAGTTGCTACCACATTCGTTCACTCAACTTCTTGGTCCCCGCCTCACCCCACATATCATACATGAGTGCAAACTCTCCACCTGTCAACGCGAACGGTGCAACGAAATTGGTGACATCAACATTTCGACGTCCGTTATCAGCTCCTATCAGTAGTTATCACTTCCCGCCACCCGTCATCAGTGTTCACCTCCGGCCCCCTATATATCCTAGAAGTTTGAGCGCTCTGGGTCCAAAGGGGGTGAAGTTATGAATTTCCGGTCAGACACACACACACACACACAACCGCTTAGCCGATTATATATAGTAGGATTCTAATGATGACTTTAGTCGGCTACCAAGCAGTGAATTTGAAAGCTTCATCACTACAGTGATTGGTATCTGTCAGTGCCTGAGTTTCGATCAGTTCACATTTTATCCATTGCACTTCTTAATTCCGAAATGTACAAGGGAATTTTTAGACACTTATGGTTTTCTGGTCCACTCATGCGTGGTTCGCGATCAAGGAGGGAACGATTACAAGCTGGTCGATGATAGAGGGTGGGTTGCGCTTTTTCCAACTGCATCTTGAACCTTTTCTCCTAGCTGCTTATTTAGCTTTTAAAGCAACAGTTCAGGGAGGGTCCGAAAATTTCAATGCCACTACTACTGAGGGATACACGAGCCCTAGTGAAGAACATATGCAGTGGAAATAATAAACGAACTTACCTCAGAAACTCAAAAACAGGGTGGAAAGTCCCTCAAACATGGGTGTTCTTGGGGATTTCCCCAATCCCGCCCCCTTGCCGGCCGTCATTGGACGCGTCGGCAATCGTGCTCGTTTTGGGACCACAGGGAAAATTGATTGAAAAATGGAGCGCGTTTACAGCGGGCACGTTCAGACAACTCGTCCAACGTGCGTCTTTATCCATTGCTGAGCGGCAGAGGGAGAGTACCTGTCTAAGACCCTCCCCGACGTTTTTTTCCAGTTTTTCATACATTAATCGTCTGGTTTTCATCTACAACTTCATTATTGGTGGTTTTTTCCCGCGAAACCGTTCCTGAACTGTTGCTTTAAATTCATTGTCGCTTGGCAGCATTTCGAATACACAAAAGTTGGAAGTCATCTCAAAGTGAAAGCTAAAATCCTCAATTCCAGTTGTGTTGTTGAGAAGATCCTCGTTCCCGATATTATTTATGCATCCGATCTCTCTTACGCTTACACAACGATTAATGCTTTTAGGTGGGTCAAATTTTACAAACCGTAGCTCTTTAACATCTTTTTTTGCAACATCCATGTTATTGTATTTGCTGTATGTTCTTTTGTCCTTTACGAGCTTGCAAGATGGGAATTTTTCTACACTGGCACAGCGTATGTATAAACAGATTCGTCTTCTAACAACCAACGGTTTCACCGGCGGATTAGTCGGCTGCCCCACATCAACGCAATGTTCGCAATACGCCTGGTGTTCCGTTGAAATCCATGCGTCGGCGCTTCATTAAGATACCGAGACATTGGGAATGGAACAGTAATTAGCAGGACTTGCGTATTTTTTATGCGAGCCGAAGTGGGATGTGACCCAAGATTTCTGGACTTGCCCTCATGGCGAGAAGTAGTCAACCATACACACTCAGCCATTGTCGATTGTGATTGTTGATAGTCTAGGCGATGTTCTATGGAGAGGCATAAGGTTGCCAGGGTGTTTTGGCCTCCACGGTTCTTTCTAATGCGTCTCTCCAAGGTTGCGTTCGACCCTAAACTGTTCTATATGGCGTCAATGCTTGCGTGCGCATTTGAACAGCCTGATCGAGAACTCTTTATGAGAGGATAATTGGCGATTGGTAAAGCCTGCCCTCCTTTCCCGCTCCAATCCTTCCGAGCACGTGTGCACTTGAGAGAGCTATTACAGCATACAGAGGCAATGGCGTGGACATAATCTATTTTGATTTGTCGAAAGCTTTTGATAGAGTAAACCACCAGAAGCTCCTCATGAAATTATGCCAGATGGGTGTTAGTGGATCCTTTCTTAGTTGGATTCGCTCTTACTTAAGCGAAAGGTTCATGTGTGTCAAAGTTGGAAATGCTTTCTCGAAGCTGTATTCATGTAAAAGTGGTGTCCCGCAAGGTGGGGTACTATCCCGCTCTACAACTTCAGCTGGGCCTACATAGTCCTTTTAATTGCATTTGCCGAAATTCGGCTTTTGATAAACTCGTCCTAAAGAATCTCCTTATTACCTTCAGTGCTGGTTCACTTAGTTAATGTTCTGTGTTCTCTAATTTTCTTTGATGCTCGGATGTGAAATAGGATAGCGCACCTAAGCGTGCAATAAATAAATAAATAAATAAATAAATAAACCGGGCGGAAGTGGTGTAGTGGCAAGTGGCACGCTTACCACGCGAGCGGTCCGGGGATCAAATCCTGGGTCGTGAGTCGCCCGGGCCAACCAAGCCTTCCATCCCTCCGGGGTCGGTTAATTGGTACCAGACTTGTCTGGGAGGATAAAAACACTGACTTGTACATCGGCTGGCCCGCAAGTCATTGTATAGGCCACATCGCATTCAAACGCCACTACGAATGTACAAATGGAAGTAGAATGCGTGCCGCATCCCAAAAGGGATTGATCAACGGCAAATGCTTTATCCTTGTCCTTTTACAGCATACCAAATGAGCCGATATTTGCGGTGCAATCGCAGTGTTGAACAGGAGCACCCCTTCACAACCTACACCAACCTTGCGAGGCCAATACGGAAAAGCGTATCAGAGCATGCTTCTGCAGTCTTCTAGTGTTCCACATCCTTACTGAAAACTATTTCCTGTTTTTCCAGAGGTCGCCATAAATCGGGGCAGTTTCACCCATCAACAGCACAAGTCACCGTCTTCGAAAAAAGCCCATTTCCGTCCTTTCCATTGCGTGTTTCTGTCAGTACCGCTTGTGATATACTGCGACGCTCCCTCCTAAGTATGCCCGCACTTCAAAATTCATCAAACATATGGACACTCAGCAGTGATGTCATGCGGGAATTGCTTTCAGCCTTAATTTTTGCATACTGAGTGCTGAATACGCGAAGTAATCAACCAAATTTTCGAAGTATCTGATTTTAAATGAGACATTTGAAGCAAATTTTGGAATGAGCCAATAATTTAGGAAGCCTTAATTTAACCTTTCTTACTACAATAATTGCGTTCCGTCTGGCGTGGTACCGCGGAACATACGAGGAAGGTGAAGCAATGAAAAATCATCATGACACCCCATTTCATAGAGAGACAGGGAACCTTAAGTATAACCTATAATTGTATTATTATAGTTTGAAGGAATCAGCCAAATCGATACTTCGGACGCATCATTTATTCTTGGGAGAATACGCTTAGCTGAAGCCAATAACATTCCACCTACTTTTCCACCGATTGTTAATCTTTTGCGGCGGAAAATGCCCGTGCGGTGACAACTGAGGCTGCTACACCGTCAGTTTGAAAACAAATCCTGGGTGCCGTCTAAGCCAACCGAGTCTTGCATCATCCCCAAGTTGATTAAATGGCGGCTAGGTTCTTGTATTGGAGGATAAAACTTGAGCTCACGGCTGTCGTCCTATTGACCAGCTCGCAGTCAATTGGTCACCACCATTTTCAGTGGATTGAAATTGCGTGGCGCGACCCATTCTGATTATCGCCGGACTCTTTGCACTGTATTCTTTTGTGTATTTCTTTTGATTATCGGTCACTTGTCATATAACTCTGTTCCTTTGCTGTTACTTAATTCAAGTGATTTAAGCCGTGATCATGATCACGACATACATATTTGTTCAGAAATACCTGAAGACTTGCTTAATAACCTAATAGTTCAGATTCGCGGATCAAATAGTTGTTCATTTCGCCTGCCAAATAACGCTATGTCAAAAGCGTGAGCAGGGATGCGAAGGCATAGCGGTGAGTTGAATAGGTCTGGCAACGTTAAAAGGCAAACCCCGGGATAAAACCGGTTATAAGAGTGCTTCGTATTGATGACTGAGCTGCGAAACGGTCTGAATGTGGAAAGGAAAGCTAGAAAATCTTTGGGATCGCTGAAATTAAGGTCTTAACCTTCAAAAAGGTCGGATGTGGAATGATGGCGAGGCAGGGCGGTCAAAGAAGACAAAACACGCGAGAAGATAACGCCGTTTAAGCACCCACGCCTATATCGAAGGTGGGTGGGAAACGATTGCAAGGGGGGATGGTTGCAGGCCCGTAAGTGTAGCGCCCTAAACCGTGCAACTTTTTGCGGCTTATGCCTTTTTTTTTTCGAGTATTTTACGGTAGAAGGACCTTGAGAATTTCAGCTAGAAGTACGCCTTTCCACGGAGTCGGCTAATCCGAGCTTGGCATAAGCGATGTGGCTCGAGGCCGGCGTCTGCATATCAAGAAATGGTTGAAGAGAGCTTTAGGGGAGGGGATGTACTCGAGGTGTCATTCCTGAACCTGAAAAATCAGGTGGAAATTTCAGAACAGCTTCATCTACGTAATGGCGTCAGTTTCTATTCATCCAAAATTCCGCCACAGAGAAGCAAACGAGGGTGCAAAAGACTGGACCCTTCTCCTCTCAATCTAGCCTTAGTATTCCACCTATGCGTGCGTCTAGCAAAATGGATTGCCCAGTTAGCTTATGGATTTGTATTGAAGACAACTTACCATTCGTACCATCTTTGCCATTACGTTTTGTACGGCTGCTCCAATCGGAATTATGTATGAGCTGCCGGTGCAACTGGGGTGGATCTCGCAAGGCAAATTTCAGTTGTTGCTTTCAAATCCATAATTCGCGCTGGCATCTTCTTCGTGGTCACATAGTTTAAAAACACTGCACTTTCTACAGTGGTGGCTGTAGCTCACATATATTTTTTTTCAGCCGCCCACATGTTATCCGATAGATTTCCCGCCAATACAAGCCGTGTATAAGCGACTGCCTACGAGTACGCACTCTCCACGGACACAGTTTTGGAACCAAGCCATTATGGGATCGATGTCGAAGATAAAGAAGATGTCTACAATATGGTTTCCGGTTTGATGGATAGATGACTGCCCACATTTTCGACTTCAAGTCAAAATTTTAGATTTGGACCAAATGTTGTTGAAAGGGGTGTTTCGACGCGCTGAACACGAATATCGCATCTGCTTGGCACGAAATTGCCTTACGCGTGCGCTACGGGTGTCAGAGGCGGTCACTTGCAAATGACGCGCACAGTGCTCGAAGCTCTTCGCCAGCTCTGTTTACTTGTGCTATAGGCAATCGCTGATAACTTAGCATGGATAAGAGTCCTTAAACAACGTTCACAAGAAAAGCAAAAGTGAGAACTCGCCAAGAACTCGAACTCACGACCTCTTGTTCGTCGGCCCGGGCCGCTGCCACTGCACTATCTCGCTTCATAACTACGTTCAGAGAATCGTTTCGCAGATTTGGAGAGCAGATTCGAGATCAGCGTCCAAAAACACATCTAGTGGTGTATGTCTCGTTACAAATGGCCACTTCGACCTGGTATCCTTCCCTTGTCAGAAGGGGATTGGTCAACACCAAGGACTTTATCATGTCGACGACAGCGCGAGGCGCATGTGCTTTGCACACGTGTGATTCTTTTTTCGCTAAGATTTTTTTGTTTCTTTTTCTATTTGTTCTGTGCATTACACCACAGCAATAACTACAAACAGCGTGGTTCACCTGAAGGCGGGATAAGTAACGGTCGAGGGATTTTTCGACCATAGCGCTGTACTGTGTGGAGTAGTGTCGAGGGTGAATGTACTATGTGGGTGAGAGCGTACTGAACAGGCGAAAATCTTCGACGAGCCGTTGCCGTTTCCTCGACCGATTTCCACACAGCCTGATAGTTTACGCTTTACTTTGGCGAGGATTTCCAAGTCTTACGTTTGTTAGTTCGGTTCACTACTTGTTTTCTTTATGCTTTCGTAGAAGTGTGCAAAGAATAGTAGAAGTAAAAACAGAGTCATATGCATGCCAAGATATATGCCTTTACATACATAAGCATCCGTGCCAAAAATACTATTAAGGCTCACTGCAGTGTAAGCAGCTGGAATTTGCCTGTTCACTGCAGAACATCTTGTTGATCAATCCTCCACTGCTACTGTACCTACCGCCACTAAATATTGTTGGAAAGTTCTCACCGCATCCAAGTAATACATATCCAAAGCTCAAATCTATGGATGTGAGGCAGGGTGGCGGCGCTTGCAAAATCGCTCTGGTTCCACGCAGCGGAAAAACCCAGAACGTGCGCGAGTCAATAAGTGAGGAAAAATGGCTGAAAAACTGAGATGGGGGTTCCTTCGT